GCTCACCGCAACCTCCGCCTCCTGGGTTCAGGCAATTCTCCTGCCTCAGCCTCCCGAGTAGCTGGGATTACAGGCACACGCCACCATGCCCAGCTAATGTTTTGTATTTTTAGTAGAGACGGGGTTTCACCATGTTGACCAGGATGGTCTCGATCTCTTGACCTCGTGATCCACCTGCCTTGGCCTCCCAAAGTGCTGGGATGACAGGCTTGAGCCACCGCGCCCGGCAAAAGAAAATTTAAGTACCCAGGTGTGGTAGTGTGCCTGCGGTCCTAGCTACTCTGGAATCTAAGGCAGAAGGATTGCTTGAGCCTGGGAGGTCGAGGCCGCAGTGAGCTGTGACCGCACTGCTGCACGCCAGCCTGGGTGAGAGGGAAAGATCTTGTCTCTGAAACATAAAAATGAAGACGTGTCTATTTCAGAGGTCAGGAAACTGCAGCCCGTGGGCCAGAGCCACGTCAGGTCCGCTCCCTGCTTTTACACAGCCGGAGATTCAAGAATGACTTTTGCATGCTGTTATTCTTACAGAGGCTGGGTCTCCCCGTCACCCAGGCTGGTGGAATCCCAGATTCCTGCAGCCTCCGCCTCCTGGGCTCAAGCAGTCCTCCCCACTCAGCCTCCTGAGTAGCTGGGATCACAGATACGCGCCCCACCATGCCCGGCTAATTTGTGTTTTTTCTTTCTCTCTTTGTTTTGGGGTCTCGCTGTGTTGCCCAGGGGGGTCTCAAATTCCTGCACTCAAAGGATCGTTCTACCTTGGCCTCCCAAAGAGATGGCATTATAGGTGTTGGCCACTGCGCCCAGTCAGGATTTGTGTCCATAAATAAAGTGTCATGGAAACTCAGTTGTGTCTAAATTTTTTTTTTTTTTTTTTTTGAGATGGAGTCTCACTCTGTCACCCAGGCTAGAGTGCAATGGCTGGACCTCAGCTCACTGCAGCCTCCACCTCTTGGATTCAAGTGATTCTCCTACCTCAGGCGCATGCTTGAGGTCAGGTCAGGAGTTCGAGACCAGCTTGGGCAACATAGCAAGACTCCCTCTGTACAAAAGAAAAAAAAAATAGCACTCCAAGTAGCTGGGATTACAGGCGCACGCCACCACTCATATTTTTGGTAGAGACGGGGTTTCACCATGCTAGCCAGGCTGGTCTTGAACTCCTGACCTCAGGTGATCCATCTGCCTCGGCCTCCCAAAGTGCTGGGATTACAGGTGTGGGCCACCCGCCCGGCCAGATTGTGTCTAATTATTTACATATGGTGGGCTGCATTAGCATGATAATGGCACCGTTCAGGGCCACAGTCCAGACAGGCTTGTGAACATGAAAATATTTACCACCAGCGGGTGTAGCGGCTCCCACCTGTAATCCCAATGCTTTGGGAGGCCGAGGCAAGCAGATCACCTGAGATCAGGAGTTCAAGACCAGCCTGGGCAACATGATGAAACCCTGGCTCTACTAAAAATACAAAAATTATCCAGGTCCACATCTGTGGTGGGGGCCTGTAATTCCGGCTCCTCAGGAGGCTGAGGCAGGAGAATCCCTTGAACCCGGGAGGCGGAGTTTGCAGTGAGCCGAGATCATGCCATTGCACTCCAGCCTGGGGGACAAGAGCGAGATAACATCTCAAAAAATAATAATAATAATAATAATCAGGGATCGGGCCGGGCGCGGTGGCTCAAGCCTGTAATCCCAGCACTTTGGGAGCCCGAGGCGGGCGGATCACGAGGTCAAGAGATCGAGACCATCCTGGTCAACATGGTGAAACCCCGTCTCTACTAAAAATACGAAAGTTAGCTGGGCATGGTGGCGGGTGCCTGTAATCCCAGCTACTCGGGAGGCTGAGGCAGGAGAATTGCCTGAACCCAGGGGGCGGAGGTTGCGGTGAGCCGAGATCGCGCCGTTGCACTCCAGCCTGGGTAACAAGAGCGAAACTCCTGTCTCAGAAAAAAAAAAAAAAAAAATCAGGGATCGGGTGTGAAGGTCAGGAGGAGAACTTTGTGTTTTAGAACTGCTGGAGGTATTTTAGTGTGTGTGTCGCCAGGGATGACGTATTCTGATGAACATTTCGAAGGGACCATCTAATTGCTAGGAATGGCTCACAGAGGGTCCAGGGAGGGAGGAAAGAGACCAGTCCTTCCAGAGGGCATGCTGGTGGCCTGTCCAGAGCTGTAGCTACCCGCATGTGAGGAATGCCTGGTTTAGGAATCTATTTTGGACACTGAGCCAGAAGGAATTGTTGAGTGTGACAGAAAAACAGTCTGTGGTCACAAATTCTTTCATGCACCTCCCTTCAAAAGATGTCACTCAGGCCTGGCATGGTGGCTCATGCCTGTAATCTCAGCAGTTCAGGTGGTTGAGGTGGGAGGATTGCTTGAGGTCAGGAGTTCGAGACCAGCTTGGGCAACATAGCAAGACTCCTTCTGTACAAAAACAAAACAAAACAAAACAAATGACCCGGGTGTGGTGGTGCACGCATGTGGTCCCAGCTACTCAGGAGGCTGAGATGGGAGGATTGCTTGAGCCCAGGAGGCGCTGGCTGCAGTAAGCTGTCATCACACCACTGCACTCCAGCCTGGGCAACAGAGAAAGACCCTGTCTCAACAACAACAACAACCACCAGAATCCTGAAATACCACAGAGGAAAAAAGAAAAAAAGGGGGGGGGCGGGGAACCAGGAGGGTGGGAGTCAGAGAGAGACTGGCGGAGGCCGCCTGTGGCTGTGAAGAAGGAGGACGGGCCCCGAGCCTCTAGATGGAAAGCGGGGAAACGGATTCTCCCCTGGAGCCCCCATGAGGGCCCCGTCCTGCCCACAGCTTGGTGGGGAGCCCTGTAAGATGGATCTCAGACTTCTGACTTCCAGAACTGTGAGGTTCCGAGTCAGTATTCCATTTCTTAATTTTTAGAGACAGGGTCGGTCACCCAGGCTGCAGTGCGGTGGCACAATCACAGCTCACTGCAGCCTCCACCTCCTGGACTCAGGCGATCCTCCTGCCTCAGCCTCCTGATCTGCTAGGATTACAGGCATGAGGCGCCACGCCTGGCTAGTTTTTGTTTATTTTTTGTGGAGATGGAGTCTCACCGTGTTGCCCAGGCTGGTCTCTAACTCCTGGGCTCAAGTGATCCTCCCACTTCAGCCTCCTCAAATGCTGGGATTACAGGTGAGAGCCACCATGCCCAACCAGTCACTCAGTGTTCCTCTAAGCCCACAGCTGTGGGGTCCTTTGTTATAGCAGCTGTGGGAACCTCACGCTTACTCTTTCTAGTAATGGACCTCAGTAACCTATGGGAGCCCTCACCTCCATGCGGCAGTCCAGCCAGCAGTCAGATTTTATCTTTTTTTTTTTTTGAGACGGAGTTTCACTCTTGTTACCCAGGCTGGAGTGCAATGGCGCAGTCTCAGCTCACTGCAGCCTCCACCTCCTGGGTTCAAGCGATTCTCCTGGCTCAGCCTCCTGAGTAGCTGGGATTACAGGTGTCCACCACCACGCCCGGCTAATTTTTTGTATCTTTAGTAGAGATGCAGTTTCACCATCTTGGCCAGGCTGGTTTTGAACTTCTGACCGCATGATCCACCAGCCTTAGCCTCCCAACCAAAGTGCTGGGATTACAGGCGTGAGCCCTGCACTTGGCTTTTTTTTTTTTTTTTTGAGACAGAGTCTCACTCTGTCACCCAGGCTGGAGTGCAATGGCACGATCTCGGCTCACCGCAACCTCCGCCTCCTGGGTTCAAGTGATTCTCCTGCCTCAGCCTCCGGAGTAGCTGGGATTACAGGCGCCTACCATCATGCCTAGTTAATTTTTGTATTTTTAGTAGAGATGGGGTTTTGTCATGTTGGCCAGGCTGGTCTTGAACTCCTGACCTCGTGATCTGCCCGCCTTGGGCTCCCAAAGTGCTGGGATTACAGGTGTGAGCCTCTGTGCCCATGGCCTTTTTTTTTTTTTCTGATGCAGAGTCTTGCTCTGTCACCCAGGCTGTAATGCAATGCAGCAATCTCTGCTCACTGCAACCTCCAACTCCCAGGATCAAGTGTTTTTCCTGCCTCAGCCTCCCTAGTAGGTGGGATTACAGGTCCCTGCCACCATGCCCAGCTAATTTTTGTATTTTTAATAGAGACAGGGTTTCATCATGTTAGCCAGGCTGGTCTTGAACTCCTGACCTTGTGATCTGCCCACCTCGACCTCCCAAAGTGCTGGGATTACAGGCGTGAGCCACTGTGCCCAGCCAGCCCAGCCTTTTTTTTTTTTTTTTTTTTTTGAGATGGAGTCTTGCTCTGTGGCCCAGGCTAGAGTGTAGTGGCATAGTCTCAGCTCACTGCAGCCTCCGCCTCCTGGATTCAAGCAATTCTCCAGCCTCAGCCTCCTGAGTAGCTGGGATTATAGGCATCCGCTATCATGCCCAGCTAATTTTTGTATTTTTAGTAGAGCTAGGGTTTCACCGTGTTGGTCAGGCTGGTCTCGAACTCCTGACCTTGTGATCCGCTCGCCTCAGCCTCCCAAAGTGCTGGGATCACAGGCATGAGCCACCATGCCCGAGCAGCCTGGCCATTTTTTTTTTTTTTTTTTTTTTTTTTTTTTGAGACGGAGTTTCGCTCTTGTTACCCAGGCTGGAGTGCAATGGCGTGATCTCGGCTCACCGCAACCTCCGCCTCCTGGGTTCAGGCAATTCTTCTGCCTCAGCCTCCTGAGTAGCTGGGATTACAGGCACACGCCACCATGCCCAGCTAATTTTTTGTATTTTTAGTAGAGACGGGGTTTCACCATGTTGACCAGGATGGTCTCGATCTCTCGACCTCGTGATCCACCCGCCTCGGCCTCCCAAAGTGTTGGGATTACAGGCTTGAGCCACCGCGCCCGGCCCTAATTTTTGTATTTTTAGTAGAGACGGGGTTTCACTATGTTGACCAGAATGGTCTCGATCTCTTGACCTCGTGATCCACCCGCCTCGGCCTCCCAAAGTGCTGGGATTACAGGCTTGAGCCACCGCGCCCGGCCGCCTGGCCATTTTTAAGGGCATAGTTGCAGCTCCTGCTTATGGGAAGACAAACGCCTTCAGCCTCTGACCCCGTGTTTCTGTCGTCTTGGGTGACATCCAGATTGCTGTCTGCATGCATCTGAGCCATGGAGTCCGCCGTGGCTGACGTACACCTCATGCCCAGGACAACCAAGGAGGTCCCTGCTCCGGACGCCGCGTGCTGTCGAGCGGTCACCGTTGGCGTGGTGGCCACCAGCCTTGTCGTCCTCACCCTGGGAGTCGTTTTGGGTAAGTAGCTACAGGATTGGCTGGGTTTGCAAAACCAGGGCACCTGTGCAGACACGGGGAAGCAACTTGGTGGTGTCTCCGTGGTCACGCGTCGGAGGGCAGTGTCTACGCGTGGAACAAAGGCTGCTCCAGGTCAGGGGTGTGGACGGGGGGGCGGGTGAGTTCCTCTGTGTCGCTTTTACCAACGCAAGAAGCTCCCGGAGGAAGTTTTCACAGCTGGGGTGACAGAGAGAGAAACAGACAGTGAAATGACCTTAGTTTACATTTTGGCAAATCAGAAAAGTACCCAAAAGTGCCGGGCGCAGTGGCTCAAGCCTGTAATCCCAGCACTTTGGGAGGCCGAGGTGGGTGGATCACAAGGTCGAGAGATCGAGACCATCCTGGTCAACATGGTGAAACCCCATCTCTACTAAAAATACTAAAAAATTAGCTGGGCATGGTGGCGCGTGCCTGTAATCCCAGCTACTCAGGAGGCTGAGGCAGGAGAATTGCCTGAACCCAGGAGGCGGAGGTTGCGGTGAGCCGAGATCGCGCCATTGCACTCCAGCCTGGGTAACAAGAGCGAAACTCCGTCTCAAAAAAAACAACAAAAACAAAAAAAAACGAGCAGTTGCCAGGCAGTGGTGGCTCCTGCCTACAATCCCAGCACATTGGGAGGCTGAAGTGGGTAGATCACCTGAGGTCAGGAGTTTGAAACCAGCCTGACCAACATTGGAGAAACCCCATCTCTATTAAAAATGCAAAATTAGGGCTGGGCATGGTGGCCCACGTCTGTAATCCCAGCATCTTGGGAGGCTGAGATGGGCAGATCATGAGGTCAAGAGATCGAGACCAGCCCAGCCAACATGGTGAAACCCCGTCTCTACTAAAATACAAAAATCAGCTGGGTGTGGTGGTGCGCGCCTATAGTCCCAGCTACTCAGGAGGCTGAGGCAGGAGAATCGCTTGAACTTGGGTGGTGGAGGTTGCAGTGAGCTGAGACTGTACCACTACACTTCAGCCTGGTGACAAAGCAAGACTTTGTCTCAAAAAAAGAAAAAAAAAAGAAAAAAAAGCAAAATTAGCCAGGCATGGTAGCACATGCCTGTAATCACAGGAGGCTGAGGTGGGAGAATCGCTTGAACCCAGGAGGTGGAGGTTGCAGTGAGCCGAGATCCTGACTTGGCACTCCAGCCTGGACAGCAGAGAAGACCGTGTCTCAGTGAATAAATGCAATTCAATTCCTGAACCCCACCAGCCACACTTCAACTGCCCTGTGGCCACGTGTGACCTGTGGTTGCTGTAGTGAGCCGTGCAGATCTGGAAGATTCTATCATCGCAGAAAGATCTCTTGGGCAGTGGAGGTGTGGGACGAGCTCACGCTGCAGTCACTGGCTTCCCACAGCATGTTAAAATCACCTTTTTACATTTAAATGATGATGACGTTGATTTTATGATGATAAATGTTCATTCTGGCCGGGCGCGGTGGCTCATGCCTGTAATCTTGACACTCTGGGAGGCCGAGGCGGGTGGATCACCTGAGGTCAGAAGTTCAGAGCAGCCTGGCCCACATGGTAAAACCCTGTCTCTGCTAAAAATAAAAACAAAAAATAGTTGGGCATGGTGGCGCGCACCTGTAGTCCCAGCTACTCCGGAGGCTGAGGCAGGAGAATTGCTTGAACCTGGGAGGCGGAGGTTGCAGTGAGCCGAGATGGTACCACTGCAGTCCAGCCTGGGTGACACAGTAACATTTAAATGATGATAATTAACAGCAATTTTGGGGGGAATGCTCTTGGGCAGCAGAATGATAAGCTGGTGATCCTGTGAGAATCCTCCTGATTTTTTTTTTTTTTTTTTTTTTTTTTTGAGACAGAGTCTTGCTCTGTCGCCCAGGCTGAAGTACAGTGGCGCGATCTCGGCTCACTGCAACGTCCACCTCCCGGGCTCAAGCGATTCTCCTGCCTCAGCCTTCTGAGTAGCTGGGATTACAGGCACCTGCCACCATGCCCAGCTAATTTTTGTATTTTTAGTAGAGACGGGGTTTCACCATGTTGGCCAGGCTTGTCCTGAACTTCAAACCTTGTGATTCTCCTGCCTCAGCCTCCCAAAGTGCTAGGATAACAGGTGTGAACCATTGTAACTGGCTTTTCTTTCTTTCTTTTTTTTTTTTTTTAATATTTGTGAAAATTCTGGAAACTCCCAGAGTCAGACACGTTTGACTGAGGCCCTCTAGTGGCCATGCGTAGTAAATGCAGTACGATTTGGGTTCCTTGTGTGTTTGTGTATGGTGCACACATGTTCATTTGCATGTGTTTGCATGTGCGTGTCTGCATGTGTGTCTGTGTTCATCCTCACACTAGCGAGAGGCAGAGGTTCTCTCATCTGTATTCTAACAAATTCATTTTGGGAACAACAGATAAATATAATTCCCACCAGGACCCCCTGCAACCCCAGAAAATCTTTTTTTATTTTTTATTTTTTGAGACAGAGTTTCGCTCTTGTTACCCAGGCTGGAGTGCAATGGCGTGATCTCGGCTCATCGCAACCTCCGCCTCCTGGGTTCAGGCAATTCTCCTGCCTCAGCCTCCTGAGTAGCTGGGATTACAGGCATGCGCCACCATGCCCAGCTAATTTTTTGTATTTTTAGTAGAGACGGGGTTTCACCATGTTGACCAGGATGGTCTCCATCTATTGACCTCATGGATCCACCTGCTGGGATTATAGGCGTGAGCCACCACGCCCAGCCCCGCCAGGCTGGTCTTGAACTCCTGACTTCAAGTGATCCACCCGCCTCAGCCTCCCAAAGTGCTGGAATTACAGGCGCCCCGCCCCAGAAAGTCTTTTAAGAAGCCCTTAAGACTGGGCGTGGTGGCTCACGCCTGTAATCCCAGCACTCTGGAAGGTGGAGGCAGGAGGCTTGCTTGGACCCAGGGGTTCAAGACCAGCCTAGGCAACATAGTGAGACCCTGTCTCTATAAAAAAAATCAAATAATAAAAACAAGAAGCACTTAAAACATTTTAAATGTCTGAAATGAAAATGAGCGGTTGTGCGTGCCTGCAGTCCCTGCTACTCGGAAGACTGAGGTGGAAGGATCACTTGAGCCCAGGAGTTTGAACCTGCAGGGAACCATGATCCCACCACTGCACTCCAGGCTGGGAGACAGAGTGACACCCTAATTAAAAAAAAAAAAAGACGCCGGGCGCGGTGGCTCCCGCCTGTAATCCCAGCACTTTGGGAGGCCGAGGTAGGTGGATCATGAGGTCAGAAATTTGAGACCAGCCTGACCAACATGGTGAAAACTCATCTCTACAAAAAAAAAAAAAAAAAAAAAAATTTCAGAAATTAGCTGGGCATGTTGGTGCACACCTGCAATCCCAGCTACTTGGGAGGCTGAGGCTGGAGAAGTGCTTGAATCTGGGAAGTGGAAGTTGCAGTGAGCCAAGATCATACCACTGTACCCCAGTCTGGGCGACAAAGTGAGACCTTGTCTCAAAAAAAAAAAAAAAAAAAAAAAAAAAAAAGGCTGGGCATGGTGGCTCATGGCTATAATCCCAGCAGTTTGGGAGTCTGAGGTGGGCGGATCAGGAGGTCAAGAGATCGAGACCATACTGGCCAACAGGGTGAAACCCCATCTCTGCTAAAATTAAAAAAAAAATTAGCCGGGTGTGGTGGCGTACACCTGTGATCCCAGCTACTCAGGAGGTTGAGGCAGGAGAATCTCTTGAACATGGGAGGTGGTTGCAGTGAGCCAAGATTGTGCCACTGCATTCCAGCCTGGGTGACAGAGCGAGACTCTGTCTCAAAACAAGAAAAGAAATATCCCTAATGTAGATGACAGGGGGATGGGTGCAGCAAACCATCATGGCATGTGTCCACCTATGTAACCAACATGCACGTTCCGCACATGTACCCAGAACTTAAAGTGTAATAAACAAAAAACAATAGTGATAACAAATAAAAATTTTTGAAAAGAGGAAAAAAGAAAGAAAAGCAGCTATGTGTGACGGTGGGTGCCTGTGGTCCCAGCTACTCGGGAGAGGCTAAGGAAGGAGGATCACCGGAGCCCAGGAGGTGGAGGCTGCAGTGAGCTGTGACCGCGCCCCTGCTTTGAAGCCCAAACAATAGAGACTCTGTCTCAAAATAAATAAATAAATAAAAAATAAAAATGAGAACTCAGCCCTTCCTGAACAGCTCCCTATTTTAGCTGGAGATGTCAGGAGAGGTTGGGTGGAGGGCGGGAGACGTTCTCAGCTATTTCTGCACCTTCCTGAATCTGCAGTTGTTTCAGACTAAAAAGTTACGGAGTGAGGTTGGGACTCAGGCGGGCAATCCAGGCCACCACCAGGGTGCTCGTTCTTCTTTATTTTTAGTTTCTTGAACGAGAAAAACGTCCTGTTTTTAGAATTGGTTTAGAATATTCTGCCTACTGAATGTATTGACTATGTAAATAGCCACCCAGCACATCTATCCATTTAGAATCAACAGAATTGGGACCCAGCTTTTACGGTTTACGAGGCTGCTATTTTCATCGTTTAAATGTTGTAATGATGACCATTTTTTGCTGGTGTGCACTTCTGGGAGTTTTAACGTATTTTTGACCAAAACTCGTGCTTCCATGATTTCCGTGGTTGCTCTTGTAGTTTTTATTTAGAAGATTTTTCTTCTGCTGCTTGAATCGGCATAGGAATTTTTTATGACTATTATTTTTGCTGTACTTTGTACTTTGCGCTCAACATACCCAACAGCTAAAAAACAAGGCTTTCTGCTTGGGGCAGTGGCTCACACCTGCAATCCCAGCACTTTGGGAGGCTGAGGTGGGCAGATCACTTGAGGTCAGGGGTTTGAGACCAGCCTGGCCAACATGTTGAAACTCCATCTCTACTGAAAATACAAAAAACTAGCCAGGTGTGGTGGTGTGCGCCTGTAATCCCAGCTACTCGGGAGGCTGAGGAAGGAGGATCGCTTGAGCCTGGGAGGTGGAGGTTGCAGTGAGCGGAGATCGCGCCACTGCACTCCAGCCTGGGCAACAGAGCAAGACCCGTCTCAAAACCAACCAATTAACCAGTGCATTTTGAAGATGTCCTCATGGGACTGTGGCCGGAGAGCCCTGCTGGCCTCTGGCTGTGCTCTCGTCCCTGCAGTAGGAGGTGGGGACAGTCATTTCACCGTCCCCCAGTGTCATTCCAGCTGTTACTCCCTGTAGTCAGCTCAGGTCCTGGGCCAGACACCACATGGGAGACAGGCATGAGCAGGGTCCTGCCTTGGGGGGATAACCAGGGGCGTCTGGGGCTCACTGGGGGCCTCACATCTGCTTTGTGCTGTTATCTGGGGACCTCTGAGTGGGTGGCCAGAGAATTCAGCTCCAAACCAGGATGCTTTTGGAAATGGAGGGAGAGCCCTGTGAGTAGCTATTCGGGACAACCACAGGGGCGACGGAGTGACCACCGGGCTGTGTGGGGGCAGGCAGGGCGGGGCCTGGGGCGCTGGCTCAGTGGAGCCCTGAGCCCCCAAATCTAGGCTCTCTCATGGGCCCTGGTCTCGTCCCCAGCCTTCCTCTCTATGCAGGGTGTCCACGTGGACCACACAGCCCAGGTTCGGGGCATCCGATGGGCCAGCAGTCTGCGGCAGGAGGCCTCGGACTATCACCGCACGCTGACGCCCACCCTGGAGGCACTGGTGAGGGTGGTCTGCGTTTGGGGGCCAGGGAGGAAAAGCAAGTAGCTGGGGGCACTGACCTAGAGCTGCTTCCCATGGGGGAGGGAGGCGGGGTGGAGGCAGGGAGGCTGGGGTGGAGGCTGTGAGATTGGGAAGCCAGGTCATGGGATGGGGAGGATGAGGCCAGGGGGCCGAGGCTGATGCCTGCAGGGCAGAGCAATATCCACTTAGGACTGACTCATGTGGGACTTCAGGCCAGGTTTCCAGTTTCCAGTTTTATTCTGGATGGGAATCAGAGCCCTCACACCCGGCTGGGGGAATGTGTTTTATTTGTTTTGAGACAGAGTCTCACTCTCACCCATGCTGGAGTACAGTGGCGCGATCTCGGCTCACCGCAACCTCCGCCTCCTGGGTTCAGGCAATTCTCCTGCCTCAGCCTCCCGAGTGGCTGGGATTACAGGTACCTGCCACCACGCCCGGCTAATTTTTGTATTTTTTTGTAGGTACGGGGTTTCACCATGTTGGCCAGGATGGTCTCCAGCTCCTGACCTCAAGTGATCCACCCTCCTCGGCCTCCCAGCCTGGGGGAAGGTAAAATCAGGCATTCCAGGAAAGCAGGAAAAGATAAAATAGAATACAGTGGTGCAGGCCGGGTGTGGTGGCTCACGCCTGTAATCCCAGCACTGTGGGAGCCCAAGGCGGGTGGATCACCTGAGGTTGGGAGTTGGAGACTAGCCTGACCAACATGGAGATGCTCCGTCTCCACTAAAAATACAAAATTAGCTGGGCGTGATGGCATGTGCCTGTAATCCCAGCTACTCAGGAGGCTGAGGTGGGAGGATTGCCTGAGCCCGGGAGGCGGAAGTTGCAGTGAGCTGAGATCGTGCCATTGCACTCCAGCCTGGGTGACAGAGCAAGACACTATCTCAAAAAATAATAATAATTTAAAAAGATATACTGGGCGTGGTGGCTCACTCCTGTAATCCCAGGATTTTGGGAGGCTGAGGTGGGCGGATCATGAAGTCAGGAGTTCAAGACCAGCGTGGCCAACGTAGTGAAACAACATCTCTACTAAAAATACAAAAAATCAGCTGGGCATGGTGGCACGTGCCTGTAATCCCAGCTACTCAGGAGGCTGAGGCAGGAGAATCGCTTGAACCCGGGAGGCAGAGATTGCAGTGAGCTGATATGATGCCACTGCACTCGGGCCCAGATGACAGAGCAAGACTCTGTCTCAAAAATAATAATAATAAAAAATTTAAAAATAAAAAATAAGGCCGGGCGTGGTGGCTCACACCTGTAATCCCAGCATTGTGGGGGGCTGAGGTCGGCATATCACCAGGTCAGGAGTTTAAGACCAGCCTGGCCAATATGGTGAACTCCCATCTCTACTAAAAAATACAAAAAGTAGCTGGGCCTGGTGGTGGGTGCCCATAATCCCAGCTACTTGGGAGGCTGAGGCAGGAGAATCGCTGGAACCCGGGAGTCAGAAGTTGCAGTGAGCCGAGATCGTGCCACTGTACTCCAGCCTGGGCGACAGAGGGAGACTGTTTCAATAAATAAAACAAATAAAAATAAAACAGAAATGAAAGGAAATTCCTTCCCATGGAACCAGCCCCCTCTCTAGCTCCCTCCAACACCTACCAGGCCTCTGCAGTGGCGGGGTGCCCATGCTGTGGGTCTCAACATTGACTGGTCTTGTTTCTGTTGCAGTTTGTAAGTAGTTTTCAGAAGACAGAGTTAGAGGCAAGCTGTGTGGGCTGCACGGTGCTGAATTACAGGTGAGTTGGAGCTTCCATTGGGTGAAGGAGACTTGGTGGACATCTGGGAGTTTCTGGAGGATTCCAGAAAAGTATGGAAGATTCTAGAAGATTCCAGCAGGGAGGAGCCCCTCCTCCTCCAAGGGCCTCTCCTCCATACCTGTAGGGAAGGGAACTCTAGCGTCCTGGTGCATTTCCGGCTGCATTTTCTGCTGCAACCCCTCCAGACGTTGAGCCTGGGCCTGGAGGAGGAGATACTGCAGGAAGGAATCCGGGCAAGGCTGCGGGAGCAAGGCATCTCCCTGGCTGCCTACGGCACCATTGTGTCGGCTGAGCTCACAGGTGAGTGGGCAGTTGAGACTGAATCCACATCACGAGGAGGCTGGAGGCGGGCAGCTGTCACAAGATACATTTTGATAATCACCTCTTCCCATAAAAAGAAAATGAAACAGTCAGCGCAGCGGCTCATGCCTGTGATCCCAGCACTTTGGGAGACTGAGGCGGATGGATCACCTGAGGTTGGGAGTTTAAGACCGGCCCGGTCAACATGGTGAAACCCAGTCCCTACTTAAAAAAAAAAAAAAGGTCAGGCGTTGTGGTTCACACTTGTAATCCAAGCACTTGGGAGGCCAAGGCAGGTGGATCACCCGAGGTCAGGAGTTCAAGACCAGCCTGGCCAACATGGTGAAGCCCTCTCTATTAAAAAAAAAAAAAAAAAAAAGGCCGGGCACAGTGGCTCAAGCCTGTAATCCCAGCACTTTGGGAGGCCGAGGCGGGTGGATCACAAGGTCGAGAGATCGAGACCAACCTGGTCAACATGGTGAAACCCCGTCTCTACTAAAAATACAAAAAAAAAAAAAAAATTAGCTGGGCATGGTGGCGGGTGCCTGTAATCCCAGCTACTCAGGAGGCTGAGGCAGGAGAATTGCCTGAACCCAGGAGGCGGAGGTTGCGGTGAGCCGAGATCGCACCATTGCACTCCAGCCTGGGCAACAAGAGCGAAACTCTGTCTCAAAAAAAAAAAAAAAAAAAGAAAATCGTCAGCTTGATCTTGATGAGCGGGACATCGGTGGTTCCCTCCCCACCAGCTGTGACATGCTGGTCCAGGTCTTAATAACCTCTGCTCCAGCGTTAACAGAACTTTCCCTGGTGAGGGGGCGTTTCCAGGCCAGTGGGGTGTGGTGGCCGCCTGAGCCCTGTGGCCAGTGAGTGACTGCACAGCAGTGCTGATTGTGTTTTATCTTCACTGAGGAGTGTAAGTGACGCCCCAGGGTGGACAGGACACCTGCTCACTTCACTTCACCACCTGTGTGCAACAGGCCGTGTTCTTTTTTACTAAAAAAAAAAAAAAAAAAAAAAAAAAAAAAAAAAGATGGGGTTTCACCACGATGGCCAGGCTGGTCTTGAACTCCTGACTTCAGGTGATCCACCCAACTCAGCCTCCCAAAGTGCTAGAACTACAGGCGTGAGCCACCATGCCCGGCCCTTTTTTTTTTTTTTTTTTTTTTTTTTAAATTTGAGACAGAGTGTCGCTCTTGTTGCCCAGGCTGGAGTTCACTGGCGTAATCTCGGCTCACAGCAACCTCCTCCTCCCGGGTTCAGGTGATTCTCCCACTTCAGCCTCCCAAAGTGCTGGGATTACAGGTGCGGGCCACTGTGCTCAGCCAATAGGATGTTTTCAAAGAGTTTTACTGCTTATTCGATGAGCTTCTATTTTGCTGTTTGGTTGCAGGAAGACATAAGGGACCCTTGGCAGAAAGAGACTTGAAATCAGGTATGTTTTTCTCCAATTGCAGTTACTGACAGGTTTCCTAAAGCTCCCCCTTTCAACTAAGGGAAAGAATTCCCGGAACAAGGTTGAGCGCGGTGGCTCAGGTCTGTAATCCCAGCACTTTGGGAGGCCTAGGTGGGCAGATCACAAGGTCAGGAGTTGGAGACCAGCCCGATCAACATGGTGAAAGACCGTCTCTACTAAAAATACAAAAATTAGTTGGGTGTGGTGGCGCGTGCCTGTAATCCCAGCTACTGGGGAGGCTGAGACAGGAGAATCACTTGAACCCTAGAGGCGGAGGTTGCGGTGAGCCGAGATCACGCCATTGCACTCCAGCCTGGGTAACAAGAGTGAAACTCTGTCTCAAAAAAAAAAAAAAGAAAAGGAAAAAGGAGAGCATTTCTGTTTCCATACACTGGGGAAACTACCCCGGGTGGAGTGGTGCCTCACTGCAAGCAGGAGACGGAGCGTGAGGTCAGAAACCCCGTTCTTTCCTGTCCTCAGGCCGCTGTCCAGGGAACTCCTTCTCCTGCCAGAATGGCCAGTGTGTGACCAAGCTGAACCCGGAGTGTGACGACCAGCAGGACTGCTCCGATGGGTCTGATGAGGCGCTCTGCGGTCAGTCTGCCTCTCTGGCTGGGCCTCCGGGCGCCACCCCCTTTCCAGGGTCAGCTGTGGGCTCTGCTCTCTGTCACTTGGGCACACAGGCCTGGCGTTTATGGGGGCTGGGCAGAGAAAAGAAAGGGGATTCCATGGTGTGGGGAGCAACACGAGGAAGCAGAAAGAGGGAATGCTCGGGGGTCTTGACGGGGAGAACCCTTGGGAGAACAGGGTGAAGATACCAGGCTGAAAACAGAAGCTTGGCCAAAGCCTGGAAAGCCATCGATACCAGGAGCTGGAGCTGTGTCCTGTAAATCCAGGGGTGTGGCCACAGGGATTTGAGCAATGGGAAGAGACAATTAAACTGCTGGAAGAGATGAGCCGGGCGCGGTGGCTCACACCTGTCATCCCAGCACTTTGGGAGGCCGAGGCAGGTGGATCACGAGGTCAAGAGATCGAGACCATCCTGGTCAACATGGTGAAACCCCATCTCTACTAAAAATACAAAAACTAGCTGGGCATGGTGGCGCGTGCCTGTAATCCCAGCTATTCAGGAGGCTGAGGCAGGAGAATCGCCTGAACCCAGGAGGCGGAGGTTGCGGTGAGCCGAGATCGTGCCATTGCACTCCAGCCTGGGTAACAAGAGCGAAACTCCGTCGGAAAAAAAAAAAAAAAAAAATTACAAACCTTTGCTGAAGGACGTGAAAGTTGACTAAATAGACACAATATCCTACACACACCTGTACTGTGGTCATCGCCCCTTACCCACAGCTCTGTCCTGGATAGACCTTTCTCTGGGAGGGGAGACCCCGGAGGAGTCCGGGACACCAGGTAGGGGTCCCCGAGCATCTCTGAATCTGGAGGCTGTAGATGAGAGAATCCGAGATGTTACATTTTGGGAGCTCAGCGTGAGGTCCTTGTCTTTGTGGGGTCCTGGCTGGTGACCTGCTGTCTTGCAGAGTGTGGCTTGCAGCCTGCCTGGAGGACGGCCGGCAGGATTGTGGGCGGCGTGGAAGCGTCCCCGGGGGAGTTTCCGTGGCAAGCCAGCCTTCGAGAGAAAAAGGAGCACTTCTGTGGGGCCACCATCATCGGCGCCAGGTGGCTGGTGTCTGCTGCGCACTGCTTCAATGAGTAAGCCCCCATCCCGAAGCTCCAAACCCTCTGTCCCTCTCCCGTGTTCCCTCGCGCACCGAGGACGTCACTTCTGGTCTCCTCAGAGCCCTTGGAAGTAATTTTTTCTATTCCTTTGTTGCTTTTGCTGTTGTTGAATCTGAGTGCATATGTATATGTGTGTGTGTGTGTGTGTGTGTGTGTGTGTGTGTGTATATTTTTTTAAGATGGGGTTTCACCATGATGGCCAGGCTGGTCTTGAACTCCTGACATCACGTGATCCACCCACCTCAGCGTCCCAAAGTGCTAGGATTACAGTTGTGAGCCACCACGCCCAGTGAGTGCATTATTTTTAGAGACAGAGTCTCACACTGTCGCCCAGGCTGGAGTGCAGCGGCATGATCTTGGCTCACCACGACCTCTGCCTCCTGGGTTCAAGCGATTCTCCTGCCTCAGCCTCCTGAGTAGCTGGGATTACAGGCAGACACTGCCACGCCCAGCCAGTTTTTGTACTTTTTCTTTTTTTTTTTTCTTTTTTTTTTTTTTTGAGACGGAGTGTTGCTCTTGTTACCCAGGCTGGAGTGTAATGGCGCGATCTCGGCTCACCGCAACCTCCGCCTCCTGGGTTCAGGCAATTCTCCTGCCTCAGCCTCCTGAGTAGCTGGGATTACAGGCACGCGCCACCATGCCCAGCTAATTTTTTGCACCTTTAGTAGAGACGGGGTTTCACCATGCTGAACAGGATGGTCTCGATCTCTTGACCTCGTGATCCACCCGCCTCGGCCTCCCAAAGTGCTGGGATTACAGGCTTGAGCCACCGCGCCCGGCTTTTTTTTTTTTTTTTTTTTTCATTTTTTATTCTGTGACTTGAGCCAAAGGAGTCTTTGTATTTTTTGTTTTTTTTTTTTTTGAGACGGAGTTTCGCTCTGTTACCCAGGCTGGAGTGCAATGGCGCGATCTCGGCTCACCGCAACCTCCGCCTCCCGGGTTCAGGCAATTCTCCTGCCTCAGCCTCCTGAGTAGCTGGGATTACAGGCACGCGCCACCAGGCCCAGCTAATGTTTTGTATTTTTAGTAGAGACGGGGTTTCACCAAGTTGACCAGGATGGTCTCGATCTCTTGACCTCGTGATCCACCCGCCTCGGCCTCCCAAAGTGCTGGGATTACAGGCTTGAGCCACCGCGCCCGGCGAGTCTTTGTATTTTTAGCAGAGATGAGGTTTCACCATCTTGGTCAGGCTGGTCTCAAACTCCTGACCTCAGGTGACCCGCCCACCTCAGCTTCCCAAAGTGCTGAGATCACAGGTGTGAGCCACTGCATCTTGCCTTTTTTTTTTTTTTTTTTTTTTAAATTTTTATATTTTTGCGACTCTTTTGCCCTGGCCAGAATGCAGAGATGTGATCTCAGCTCACTGCAACCTCCACCTCCCGGGATCAAGCGATTCTCTTGCCCCAGCCTCCCAAGTAGCTGGGACTACAGGTGCGTATCACCACGCCCGGCTAATCTTTTTTGTGTGTGTTTTTGGTAGAGGCAGAGTTTCACCATGTTGGCCAGGCTGGTCTCGAACTCCTGACCTCAGGTGATCCACTTGCCTTGGCCTTCCATACCGCTGGGATGACAGGCATGCTCAGCCCGGCTCTACCATTTCACATTCCCACCAGCAGTACACAAGGGTTGGTTTCTCCACACCCCCCAGTTTCTGTTCTTGTGAGAGTAGCCATCCCTGTGGGTGTGAAGGAGCATCTCCCTCTGGCTTTGACTTGCGCTCCTCTGGTGACTGATGACATTTTGTTGCTGTTTTGCTTATTGTGGACATTGTTTGCATTCACTGATTTTTTAAAAATACTGTCTTGTAGGCCGGGCGCGGTGGCTCAGCCTGTAATCCCAGCACTTTGGGAGGCCGAGGCGGGTGGATCACGAGGTCAAGAGATCGAGACCATCCTGGTCAACATGGTGAAACCCCATCTCTACTAAAAATACAAAACATTAGCTGGGCATGGTGGCGCGTGCCTGTAATCCTAGCTACTCAGGAGGCTGAGGAAGGAGAATTGCCTGAACCCAGGAGGTGGAGGTTGCGGTGAGCCGAGATCGCGCCATTGCACTCCAGCCTGGGTAACGAGCAAAACTCCGTTTCAAAAAAAAAAAAAAAAAACTGTCTTGTGATATTATTTATCTTTTTGTGTGTGTGAGATGGAATCTCGCTCTGTCACACAGGCCGGAGTTCAGTGGTACAGTCTCGGCTCACTGTAACCTCCACCTCCCAGGATCAAGCGATTCTCCTGCTTCAGACTCCCAAGTAGCTGGGACCACAGGTGCCTGCATCACCTGGCTCATGTTTGTATTTTTGGCGGAGACGGGGTTTTGCCATGTTGGCCGGGCTGGTCTCGAACTCCTGGCCTCAAGTGATCCACCTGTTTGTACCTCCCAAAGGGCTGGGATTACAGGTGTGAGCCGCTGCACCCGGCTCGGTATCATTTACCTTGATGGCTGAGGTGTTTGGCACCTCTTGAACTTTTGTGCTGGAGGCTCATGGCTGGTTCCCCTCACCCTAATGCCAGCTCTGTCAGATCCGGTCTCTGTTTAAAATGCTGATACTTGGCCGGGCGTGGTGGCTCATGCCAGTAATCCCAACAGTAGGAGGCTGAGGCGGGTGGATCACGAGGTCAGGAGTTCGAGACCAGCCTGGCCAAAATGGTGAAACCCCGTCTCTACAAAAAACATATAAAAAATTTAGTAGTCAGAGGGGGAGCACACCTGTCATCCCAGTTACTTGGGAGGCTGAGGCACGAGAATCACTTGAATACGGGAGGCAGAGGTTGCAGTGAGTTGAGATTGTGCCACTGCGCTCCAGCCTGGGTGACAGAGTGAGACTCCGTCTTAAAAAAAAAAATGTTAGCTGGGCGCGGTGGCTCAAGCCTGTAATCCCAGCACTTTGGGAGGCCGAGGCGGGTGGATCACAAGGTCGAGAGATCGAGACCAACCTGGTCAACGTGGTGAAACCCCGTCTCTACTAAAAATACAAAAAAGTAGCTGGGCATGGTGGCGCGTGCCTGTAATCCCAGCTACTCAGGAGGCTGAGGCAGGAGAATTGCCTGAACCCAGGAGACGGAGGTTGCGGTGAGCCGAGATCGCGCCATTGCCCTCCAGCCTGGGTAACAAGAGCGAAACTCCGTCTCAAAAAAAAAAAAAATGTTGAGGCGGGGCGCAGTGCTCACGCCTGTAATCCAAGCATTTTGGAGGCCAAGGTGGGCAAATCACCTCAGGTCGGGAGTTCAAGACCAGCCTGACCAACATGGTGAAACCCCGTCTTAAAAAAAAAAAAATTTTTTTAAAGAAAAAAATAATGTTGAGACTTCATGCATCATGCATTCTTCTGCACCTGTGATTTTTTTTTCTTCTTTTTTAAGACAGGTCTCACTCTGTTGCCCAGGCTGGAGTGCAGTGATTCAGTGATAGCTCACTACAGCCTCAGCCTCCCAGGCTCAAGCGATCCTCCTACCTCAGCCTCCTGAGTAGTTGGGACTCAGGTGCACACCACCACACCCAGCTAATACTTTTATTTTTCTTTTCCTTTTAAAGAATGGGTTTTGCTGTGTTGCCCAGGCTGGCCTCAAACTCCTGGGCTCAAGTGAACCTCCTGCCTCAGCCTCTGAAAGTGTGGGATTTGGGCCGTGCGCAGTGGCTCACGCCTGTAACCCTAACACTTTGGGAGGCTGAGGTGGGTGGATCACCTGAGGTCAGGAGTTCAAGACCAGCCTGGCCATCATGGTGAAACCCCATCTTAAAAAAAAAAAGTGTGGGATTTAAGACAGGACCCACCGTGCCTGGCCTGATATTTATAAATACTTTTTATTTTTATTTTTTTATTTTTTTATTTTTTTATTTTTTATTTATTTATTTATTTATTTATTTATTTATTTATTTATTTATTTATGTGAGACGGAGTTTCGCTCTTGTTGCCCAGTCTGGAGTGCAATGGCGCGATCTCGGCTCACCGCAACCTCCGCCTCCTGGGTTCAGGCAATTCTCCTGCCTCAGCCTCCTGAGTAGCTGGGATTACAGGCACACGCCACCATGCCCAGCTAATTTTTTTGTATTTTTAGTAGAGACGGGGTTTCACCATGTTGACCAGGATGGTCTCGATCTCTCGACCTCGTGATCCACCCGCCTCAGCCTCCCAAAGTGCTGGGATTACAGGCTTGAGCCACCGAGCCCGGCTTTATTTTTTTAATACATAGAGACGGGGTTTCACCATGTAGACCAGGATGGTCTTGATCTCTTGACCTCGTGATCCACCCACCTCGGCCTCCCAAAGTACTGGGCTTACAGGCATGAGCCACCACGCCCAACTTATAAATACTATTAATAAATATTAATTTAGGTGGGACATCCCTTAAGTTTTGTATCCAAGGTGAGTGTCCCGTCTGCCTCCGGCGACGGCTCTGACCCCCGGTGGCCTCTGAGCTGGGGCGTTCTCTCCTGCAGGTTCCAAGACCCGACGGAGTGGGTGGCCTACGTGGGTACGATCTACCTCAGCGGCTCAGAGGCCAGCACCGTGCGGACCCCGGTGGCCCGGATCATCAAGCATCCTCTGTACAACGCGGACACGGCCGACTTTGATGTGGCGGTGCTGGAGCTGAGCAGCCCTCTGGCTTTCGGCCGGCACGTCCAGCCCGTGTGCCTCCCGGCCGCCACGCACGTCTTCCCACCCAGCAAGAAATGCCTGATCTCGGGCTGGGGCTACCTGAAGGAGGACTTCCGTGAGCATCTTCCTCGGCCTCCAGGGAGCTCGGGCAGGAGGGCGGGCAGACGGCAGGGGAAAATGCGGTGGGGTGCGTTCCTCTCCGATGCTGCATTCATGAACTCCACTGCTTACTAAAATGTATCTATCACCCCATCCTCATGCTACTGGGATTTTTTTTTTTTTTTTTTTTTTTTTAGATGGAGTTTCACTCTTGTCCAGGCTGGAGTGCAATAGTGTGATCTCAGCTCACTGCAACCTACACCTCCTGGGTTCAAGCAATTCTGCTTCAGCCTCCCAAGTAGCTGATATTACAAGCACCCTCTGCCATGCCCAGCTAATTTTGTATTTTTAGTAGAGACGGGGTTTCATCTTGTTGGTCAGGCTGGTCTCGAACACCTGACCTCAAGTCATCCACCTGCCTCCGCCTCCCAAAGTGTTGTGATTACAGGCGTGAGCCACCACACTCGGCTTTTTTCTTTTTTTTTTTTTTAAGACTGGGTTTCACCATGTTGGTCAGGCTGGTCTTGACCTCCTGACCTCAGGTGATCCGCCTGCCTTGGCCTCCAAAGTGCTTGGATTACAGGCGTGAGCCACAGCGCCTGGCCTTTTCTTTTTTGAGACGGAGTTTCACTCTTGTTACCCAGGCTGGAGTACAATCTTGGCTCTTGGCTCGCTGCAACCTCTGCTTCCTGGGTTCAAGTAATTCTCCTGCCTCAGTCTCCCAAGTAGCTGGGATTACAGGCACGTGCCACCACGCCCAGCTAGTTTTGTATTTTTAATAGAGATGGGGTTTCATCATGTTGGCCAGGCTGGTCTCAAAATCCTGACCTCAAGTGATCCGCCTGCCTCAGCCTCTTTAAGTATTGGGATTACAGGTGTGAGCCACCATGCCCGGCTTTTTTTTTTTTTTTGAGACAGGCCGTCACTCTGTCACCCAGGAGGAGTGCAGTGGCGAGATCATAGCTCCCTGCAGCCTCAAACTACTGGGTTCAAGCAGTCCTCCCACCTCAGTCTCCAGAGTAGCTGGGATTACAGACATGAGTCACCGTACCTGCCTAATTAAAAAAAAAAAAAAAAATGTAGAGACGAGTCTCACTCTATTGCCCAGGCTGGTCTTGAACTCCTGGACTCAAGAGATCTTCCAGCTTTGGCCTCCCAGAGTGCTAGGATGATAGGCATGATCCACGGCCCCCGCCACTCGTGGGATTTTTGAGATCATTTGCAAACAGGCACGGAATGATGAAAACAGTTGCCTCATGGGCTTTTGTTTTGTTTTGTTTTTGAGACGGAGTTTCGCTCTTGTTACCCAGGCTGGAGTGCAATGGCGCGATCTCGGCTCACCGCAACTCTCCGCCTCCTGGGTTCAAAAGGCAATTCTCCTGCCATCATGAGGTCAGGAGTTTTGAGACCAGCCTGGCCAACATGGTGAAACCCTGTTTCTACTAAAAACTCAAAAAATTAGCTGGGCATGGTGGCGCATGCCTGTAATCCCAGCTACTCGGGAGGCTGAGGCAGGAGAATCACTTAAACCCGGGAGGCGGAGGTTGTAGTGAGCGGAGATCGTGCCACTGCACTCCAGCCTGGGCCACAGAGTGAGACTTTGTCTCAAAAAAATGGTGCATCTAAATAGCTGCAGGTGGCCAGTGGCTACCGTATTGCACACAAGATGTCTGACAGGAGGAGATGAATCCAGTGGAGAAAAACAAGGCAGGGGTGGGGGCTGCAGTTTTATTTATTTATTTATTTATTTATTTATTTATTTTTTTGAGACGGAGTTTCGCCCTTGTTACCCAGGCTGGAGTGCAATGGCGCGATCTCGGCTCACCGCAACCTCCGCCTCCTGGGTTCAGGCAATTCTCCTGCCTCAGCCTCCCGAGTAGCTGGGACTACAGGCACGTGCCACCATGCCCAGCTAATTTTTTGTATTTGTAGTAGAGACGGGGTTTCACCATGTTGACCAGGATGGTCTCGATCTCTCGACCTTGTGATCCACCCGCCTCGGCCTCCCAAAGTGCTGGGATTACAGGCTTGAGCCACCGCGCCCGGCCCTTAGGGGGCTGCAGTTTTAAATAGGAGTTCAGGAGACTCCTCCTGGAGCGAGGAGATGGAGGAAGTCAGGCAGATTCTGCAGGGACAAGCATTTCAGGCAGCGGGAACAGCATGTGCAAAGGCCCTGGGGTGGGAGGACAGCAAGGAAGTCCCCGGGGCTGGAGCTGATGAGACTGGATTTAATGTTTAGCAAGGGTGCTGGTGGCTGCTGGGATGGGAATGGATTTTAGTGGGGTGGGACCAGAATAAAAGAAGTAAGGACAGCTGTCAGGACCCAGGCAAGGATGGGCATGAGATGGGGTGATCCCGGGTATATTTGGGGGCTGGCAATTTGAGGACTGTGGGCCTGGAAGGAGGGACCTGAGATCCCTTAGACGGGAATGCTGAGGGTGGACTGGGCTTGGGGCGGGGTGCGGAGGACCTTGGGCTGGGGGTGTTAAGTCTGATGCCTCTTCCCAGTCCCGGAAGAGACTGCCACCGGGTGGGGTATTGACCTCTTGTAGTTTCAGAGCCAGGTGTTGTAGGCAGCCACACTTGCAGCTGAGGAAACTGAGGGAGGCTCAGAGAGGAGATGTCCTTCAGCCTCCCAGCTCAAAGTGGCTGCTGGGGCTCCGGCGCTCTCACCCTGCTTTTCTCTCCGTGTCGGGGCAGTGGTGAAGCCAGAGGTGCTGCAGAAAGCCACCGTGGAGCTGCTGGACCAGGCACTGTGTGCCAGCCTGTACGGCAACTCGCTCACGGACAGGATGTTGTGTGCTGGCTACCTGGATGGGAAGGTGGACTCTTGCCAGGTGAGCCCCCAACGCCCCAGACCCCAGAAAAACACAGAAACAGACACGAGCGTGTTCAAGTGCTGAGGGATTCACAGATCTCTGGATGCCCGCCCTTGAGGAATTTTTTTTTTTTTTTAAAGACGGAGTTTCGCTCTTGCTACCCAGGCCTGGAGTGCAATGGCGCGATCTCGGCTCACCGCAACCTCCGCCTCCTGGGTTCAGGCAATTCTCCTGCCTCAGCCTCCTGAGTTAGCTGGTATTACAGGCACGTGCCACCATGCCCAGCTAATTTTTTGTATTTTTAGTAGAGACGGGGTTTCACCATGTTGACCAGGATGGTCTCAATCTCTTGACCTCGTGATCCACCCGCCTCGGCCTCCCAAAGTGCTGGGATTACAGGCTTGAGCCACCGCGCCCGGCCAGGAATTTTTAAAGCAATTGGGACTGAGAGGCAGATGCCGCTTAGAGGCTCGTCCAGCAGCTCGAACCGGACTACACTCCCTCCTCTACCCTCCATGGCTCCTTGCTCCCTCCCAAGGAACCCCAGAGGCTGCCTGTGATGGGATCCCTGTGGAAATCCCCCCAGCTGCCCTATAAACTGGGACTTCTGTGGGGGACACAGACGCTGTCCCCAGCACCTGCCCTGATACAACATACCCCCGAGAAACATCTCTCGTACGAATGATGCCAGCACACGCCCTGGGCATGCTTCTCTCCATCTGTGCAGGAAAGGCTGGTCTGTGGGAATCCCGTGGACTCTTGCCCCTGGGTGGTCAGCTGCCCATTAGGGAGCTTCAGGCTCAACTCGAGAAGCTTCCAGGACCAGGTGCAGCAGCTCACACCTGTCATCCCAGCACCTTGGGAGGCTGAGACAGGTGGACCACTTGATGTCAGGAGTTTGAGACCAGCCTGAGCAACATGTTGAAACCCCATTTCTAGTAGAAACAGATAAATTATGGCTGGCTGCAGTGGCTGACCCCTATAATCCCAGCACTTTGGGAGGCCAAGACAGGTGGATCACGAGGTCAAGAGATCGAGACCATCCTGGTCAACATGGTGAAACCCCGTCTCTACTACAAATACAAAAAAATTAGCTGGGCATGGTGGTGCGTGCCTGTCATCCCAGCTACTCAGGAGGCTGAGGCAGGAGAATTGCCTGAACCCAGGAGGCGGAGGTTGCAGTGAGCTGAGATCGCACCACTGCACTCTGGCCTGGGCAACAGAGCAAGACTCTGTCTCAAAAAGAAAATTAGAGGTCACTCAAAGCTGCCTCTGCTGGATACCTGGAATCTGCTTTCCTTCTTTTTTGTTATGAAACCTTGCTCTGTTGCCCAGGCTGGAGTGCAGCGGCGCGATCTCGGCTCACTGCAGCCTCCACCTCCGAGGTTCAAGCGATTCTCCTGCCTCAGCCTCCTGAGTAACTGGGACTACAGGCACGCGCCACCACACCTGGCTAATTTTTTGTATCTTTAGTAGAGATGGGGTTTCTCTATGTTGTTCAGGCTGGTCTCAAACTCCTGACCTCAGGGGATCCGCCTGCCTCTGCCTCCCAAAGTGCTGGGATTAGAGGCGTGAGCCCCTGCACCTGGCCCAAAAACATGAAATTGAAAATTTTTAAATGTTGCTCGTTCTTTTTTTTTGAGACGAGTTTCGCTCTTGTTACCCAGGCTGCAGCGCAATGGTGCGATCTCGGCTCACCGCAACCTCCGCCTCCTGGGTTCAGGCAATTCTCCTGCCTCATCTCCCATGTAGCTGGGATTACAGATGCCTGCCACTACGACCACTGCCCGGCTAATTTTTCATTTTAGTAGAGACGGGGTTTCACCATGTTGGCCAGGATGGTCTTGATCTCCTGACCTCACGATCTGCCCACCTCGGCCTCCCAAAGTGCTGGGATTAGAGGCGTGAGCCACCGCGCCTAGCCGGATTCCTTTTTTGTGCATGCCTTTGCTCTTGTTTCTGAGGCCTGGCGAGGGTGGGGGACAGGTGGGGAGACTGCTGTGTGCGCTTGGATTGCCATATTGAAGCCAGAACCTGGAGAGAACGCTAGCAACTCTTACTAGAGTGGGCTCGTGTTTAAGAACGTAAGAGCTGGAGGCCGGGCGTGGTGGCTCACACCTGTAATCCCAGCACTTTGGGAGGCTGAGTTGGGTGGATCACCTGAGGTCAGGAGTTCGAGACTGGCCTGGCCAACGTGGTGAAACCCCGTCTCTACTAAAGATACAAAAAATTAGCTGGGCATGGTGGCGCGTGCCTGTACTCCCAGCTACTAGGGAGGCTGAGGCAGCAAAATCACTTGAACCTGGGAGGCGGAGGCTGCAGTGAGCCAAGATCACGCCATTGCACTCCAGCCTGGGCAACAGAGCAAAACTGTCTCAAAAAAAAAAAAAAAATCTAAGAGAGTGAGAGTGAGCTGGATATGGGAAGGTAAACACTGGTGAGGCCGGATGAGTGAGAGCAGATGAAGCACCTTGGGAGCAATGCTACAGCTACCAGTGAGATAGCTGCAGGCGCCAGCATGGCAGCCATACTGTCAGCCTAGGCGAGTGGTGACATTACCAAAGATCTACTGGGTTAAGAAGAGGAGGGGATGTTATTTATCTGGGTCATGTTTTAGCCTGTCCAGGGTAGGACTGAAAGACATCTTAGACATCCTATAGTCTAGCTGTCTCGGATTCTTCCTCCACAGAAGAGGAAACCGAGGTTCTGAGATATGAATGATCGGCCCACGAGTGCTCTATGAGTTCGTGTAGAGAGAGGCCTTGGCAGTGCCAGCCCATCCTGGGGTGTGCTGCTTTCCTAGGGCGACTCAGGAGGACCCCTGGTGTGCGAGGAACCCTCTGGCAGGTTCTTTCTGGCTGGCATCGTGAGCTGGGGCATCGGCTGTGCAGAAGCGCAACGTCCCGGGGTCTATGCCCGAGTCACCAGGCTGCGTGACTGGATCCTGGAGGCCACCACCACAACCGGCCCGACTCCGGCCCTCACGGCGGCTCCTGTCCCCGCTGCCCCCAGCACGGCCTGGCCCACCAGTCCCCAGAGCTCCGTGGTCAACAGCCCCACCAAATCCACGCCGGCCCCCGGCACCGCGGCTCTTGGCTGGGTCACCGTGCCAAAGCTACAAGGTATTTTCTGGGCAGAAAGGCGGAGGGTGATGTAGGCTCCTACCTCGATTTAGGGAGCTGATGCCTTCATAGCATCTTCCTAATTTTGAGTCTCCTGCTCAAGGGATGTCCCTGTTTATCCATTTTCCCATCTTATTTGGTATGGCCCCTCATGGTATTTTCGGTCCCCAGGTCTTGCCCATGTCTTGTTAACTACGGTGATTTATCAATGGAGTAACTTTCACGTGCTTTTTTTTTTTTTTTTTTTTTTGAGATGGAGTCTCACTCTGTTGCCGAGGCTGGAGTGCAGTGGCGCTGATCTCTGGCTCACCGCAGCCTCTGCCTCCCAAGTTCAAGCGATTCTCCTGCCTCAGCCTCCGGAGTAGCTGGGACTACAGGCACACGGCACCACGCCCGGCTAATTCTGTATCTTTAGTAGAGACGGGGTTTCTCCACGTTGGTTAGGCTGCTCTCGAACTGCTGACCTCAGGTGATCCACCCACCTCCCAAAGTGCTGGGATCATGGGCGTGAGCCGCCGCGCCCAGTTTCAAATAGTTTGTACCCAGACAACTTGTAGGATTGGCCGGGCACGGTGGCTCACGCCTGTAATCCCAGCACTTTGGGAGGCCGAGGCAGGCAGGTCACTTGAGGTCAGGAGTTCGAGACCAGTCTGGCCAACATGGCAAAACCATGTCTCTACTAAAAATTAGCTGGGCGTGGTGGTGGCCACCTGTAATCCCAGCTACTCAGGAGGCTGAGGCAGGAGAATCACTTGGAACTTGGAGGCAGGAGGCTGCAGTGAGCCGACATCATGCCATTGCACTCCAGTCTGGGTGACAATAACAAAACTCAGTTTCAAAAAGAAACAAAACTCGTGGGATTATCTCCTTGTTTCCAAAAAGCGTTCCTTCCTTCCCTGTTTTTAAGCCTTCTGGTTTACTGGGCGCGTGTCCCGTGACACCTACGGTGTGGAGAAAGGAGCCACACTGTGGAACGTGTTTCTTCTTGTTCCAGAGGAAAGGGTAGGGGGGGGTGTTTCTAGTGTTTCATTATTAACAACAATGCTGGGATTTTTGGTTTCGTTTTTTGAAGAGGAGTTTCACTCTTGTTGCCCAGGCTGGAGTGCAACGGCATGACCCTGGCTTACTGCAACCTCCGCTTCCTGGGTTCAAGCGATTCTCCCACCTCAGCCTCCCGAGTAGCTGGGATCACAGGCATGCGCCACCACGCCTGGCTAATTTTCTATTTTTAGTAGAGACGGGGTTTCTCCATGTTGGTCAGGCTGGTCTCGAACTCCTGACCGCAGGTGATCTGTCTGCCTTGGCCTCCCAAAGTGCTGGGACTACAGGCATGAGGTGTGGCACCCGGCCCAGTTTTTTTTTTTTTTTGAGATGGGGTTTCACTCTTGTCACCCAGCTGGAGTACAATGATGTGATCTCAACTCACTGCAGCCTCTGCCTCCTGGATTCAAGCAATTCTTCTGCCTCAGCCTCCCAAGTAGCTGGGATTACAGGTGCCCACCATGCCTGGCTAATTTTTTTATTTTTAGTAGAGATGGCGTTTCACCAGGTCGGCCAGGCTTGGTCTCGAACTCCTGACCTCAGGTGATCCGCCTGCCTTGGCCTCCCAAAGTGCTGGGATTACAGGCGCGAGCCACCGTGCCCGGCCACGCTTCATTTCAGTTCCCCTACGCCCCACCCTCTTCGGAAACCCCATAGCGATCCTGCCCTTTTTTGAGCCACGCCTTGGGTCTCCCAGGAATGTCCATGAAGCTGCCTCTGTGGGCTTCGGGTGTCCTGAGGCTGACCGGGCCACATACCTCCCTCGAGACCCGGGGCAAGCACAGACTGCCCAGAAGCCTCCAGGGCTTCATCTGTGGAGGGGGAGTGATTACCAGTACAGGCCTGGGTGCATTCCGGTGTCCCGTCCGAGCAGGCCAGGATCCCCAGCCCGGGTCTTGTGTCCCCTTCCAGAATGCGGGGCCAGGCCTGCGATGGAGAAGCCCCCCCGGATCGTGGGCGGGTTCGCAGCGGACTCTGGGGAAGTGCCCTGGCAGGTCAGCCTGAAGGAAGGGGCCCGGCACTTCTGCGGAGCAACCGTGGTGGGCGACCGCTGGCTGCTGTCTGCCGCTCACTGCTTCAACCAGTAAGTCCCGCCTCCTCCAGGAAGGCTGCCTGGCTTCCCCTCCCTGTCAGAAAGCATCCTGCTGGGGCTGCTGCATGGACCAGGGCAGCTAGGAGACAGGAGAGAGCTGGTGCAATGCCTCAGAGCAGAAATGGGCCCGCCCAGGGGAGGGAGGAGGGCACCTTCCCTACCGCTTGCTACCCAGGCCACATATTTCTTGGAGATTTCCAGGCCTGGGGGCCAGCACCTATGGTCCCAGCTACTAAGGCGGCAGAACTGCCTGAGCCCAGCCTGCAGGCAGCCTGATCGTGTCACTGCACTCCAGCCAGGGCGACAGAGTGAGACGCTGGCTCAACCAGAAAGAGACAGACTCCTAAGCCGTAGGGACTGGTGGTGGGGGGGGGACTTTGGCGCAGGGGTAGAAAATGAAGCCTGAGGCTCCCCTGACCTGCCCCCACCTCGGGATCCTTTTCAGGAGGAGCCTGGCAGCCCCTCTTCCCCTGGTCCTCCTCCCTGTAGCCGAGGGCTGGAGGAATGGTCCTGGGGCCTTCCTGGGCTTTGGGGGGTGGCTGCCCCACGGGGCTTCTCAGGGGCGCCCGACAGCCTCGGCCCTCCCCAATAAGGCGGGTGTGACCCGAGGGCGGGCACGCCTGAGCGCCCTGTCTCCCGCCCTGTCTCCACAGCACGAAGGTGGAGCAGGTCCGGGCCCACCTGGGCACCGCGTCCCTCCTGGGGCTGGGCGGGAGCCCGGCGAAGGTCGGGCTGCGGCGGGTGGTGCCGCACCCCCTCTACAACCCTGGCATCCTGGACTTCGACCTGGCCGTCCTGGAGCTGGCCAGCCCCCTGGCCTTCAACAAGTACATCCAGCCCGTCTGCCTGCCCCTGGCCATCCAGAAGTTTCCCGTGGGCCGGAAGTGCATGATCTCCGGATGGGGAAACACGCAGGAAGGAAACGGTGAGCCCCGCCCCGCTGAGGGGAATGGCGGGTTCATTCTCCATGACACCGCACAGGGACATCGGTGCCTCGCCCCCTTGGCTCTGGTCCCGCTGCCCACACGCCACTCACCTCTCCATTCCCTCTCCGGGGAAAATCTGGCCGTTGCCTCTTTGTATAAAGTTTTATTGGAAAAAGGGCCACATTAACATACCAACAGATTGTCTGTGGTTGCTTCCCTGCAATAGCAGCAGAGTTAAATACCCGTGACAGAGACTGGCCTTTAAAGCCGAAAACATTTAATTCTCTAGCCCTTTATAAAAAACGTTTACTGGAGGCCAGGTGCCGTAGCTCACGCCTGTAATCCCAGCACTTTGGGAGGCCAGGGCAGGCGGACTGCCTGAGCTCAGGAGTTCATTCCACCAGCCTGCCCAATATGGTGAAACCTCGACTGTACTAAAAATACAAAAATCAGCCAGGCGTGGTGGTGCACGCCTGTAGTTCCAGCTACTCAGGAGGCTGAGGCAGGAGAATCGCTTGAACCTGGGAGGCGGAGGTTGCAGCGAGCTGAGATTGCGCCATTGCACTCCAGCCTGGGCGACATAGCGAGACTCCATCTCAAAAGAAAATAAAAATTAAAAATTAGTTGGGTGTGGTGGCCCATGCCTGTAGTCCCAGCTACTTAGGAGGCTGAGGCAGGATAATCGCTCAAGCCTGAGAGTCTGAGGCTGCAGTGAGCCATGATCATGCCACTGCACTCCAGCCTGGGCAACAGAGCAACACCCATCTCAAGAAAAGAGAGAATGTTCACTGTCGATGTGCTAGTGTACCCCGAGAGCCTTCCCGCTCCAAGTTACTGCTCCCTTCGACCTCAGAACGGCCTCCTACACGTGACCCAGGTGCTAAGGCAGCAGCCCTGTGGGGACCGTGGGCTCCAAGTGAGGCATCTGAGGTCCCACCTCCTCCTTAATCTATGGCTTTGTGCAATTCCTGGAACTCTGTCTCTGGGGTGGGCATGCCGCGTCTCAGGGCTGTTAGCGGAGCTGACCTGGAGCTGCTGTGGTGACCACTCTGATGTGGCCTTTCTGGGCTCTTTCCCTGGCAGCCACCAAGCCCGAGCTCCTGCAGAAGGCGTCTGTGGGGATCATAGACCAGAAAACCTGCAGCGTGCTCTACAACTTCTCCCTCACCGACCGCATGCTCTGCGCGGGCTTCCTGGAAGGGAGAGTCGACTCCTGCCAGGTAACCGTTCACAGGGGAAAGCCGGCGGGTATTTCTTAGGTTTGTTTTGTTTTTGAGATGGAGTTTCACTCTGTCGCCAGGCTGGAGTGCAGTGGCGTGATCTCGGCTCACTGCAACTTCTGCCTCCCAGGTACAAGTGATTTTCCTGCCTCAGTCTCCCAAGTAGCTGGGACTACAGGCACCCACCACCATGTCCAACCGATTTTTTTTTTTTTTTTGAGACAGAGTTTCGCTCTTGTCACCCAGGCTGGAGTGCAATGGTGCGATCTCGGCTCACCGCAACCTCCACCTTCTAGGTTCAGGCAATTCTCCTGCCTCAGCCTCCTGAGTAGCTGGGATTACAGGCACGCGCCCCCATGCCAGCTAACTTTTTGTATTTTTAGTAGAGACGGGGTTTCACCATGTTGACCAGGATGGTCTCGATCTCTTGACCTCGTGATCCACCCGCCTCGGCCTCCCAAAGTGCTGGGATTACAGGCTTGAGCCATCACGCCTGGCCTCAGCCGATTTTTTTTTTTAAAGTAGAGACGGGGTTTCATTATATTGGCCAGGCTGGTCTCGAACTCCTGACCTCACATGATCCACCCACCTCAGCTTTCCAAAGTGTTGGGATTACAGGCGTGAGCCACTGTACGCTGCCTTTTTTTTTTTTTTTTTTGAGACGGAGTTTCGCTCTTGTTACCCAGGCTGGAGTGCAATGGCGTGATCTCGGCTCACCGCAACCTCCACCTTCTAGGTTCAGGCAATTCTCCTGCCTCAGCCTCCTGAGTAGCTGGGATTACAGGCACGTGCCACCATGCCCAGCTAATTTTTTGTATTTTTAGTAGAGACGGGGTTTCACCATGTTGACCAGGATGGTCTCGATCTCTTGACCTCGTGATCCACCCGCCTCGGCCTCCCAAAGTGCTGGGATTACAGGCTTGAGCCACCGCGCCCGGCCTTTTTTTTTTTGGAGAAGGAGTCTTGCTCTGGCCAGGCTGGAGTGCAGTGGCATGATCTCAGCTCACTGCAACTTCTGCTTCCTGGGTTCAAGCAAGGCCCCCGCCTCAGCCTCCTGAGTAGCTGCGACTGCAGGCACGCGCCACCGTGCTCGGCTAATTTTCGTATTTTTACTAGACACGGGTTTCACCATGTTGGTCAGGCTGGTCTTGAACTCCGGATCTCAAGTGATCCACCCACCTTGGCCTCCCAAACTGCTAGGATCGCAGGCCTGAGCCACCACGTCTGGCCATAGCCACCATGCCTGGCCCAGATTTCTGAAGGGCTCAACCTCACATACAAAGGCAGCGGTTGATTATCAGGCTGAGCGCGGTGACTCATACCCGTAATCTCCGTGCTTTGGGAGGCTGAGATGGGAGGATCAGCTGAGGCCAGGACTGCAAGGGCAACACAGTGAGATCCCATCTCTACCAAAAAAAAAAGAGAAAAACTTGCCAGGCACGTGGCAGGCACATGTGGTCCCAGCTCCTTGGGCAGCTGAAGTGGGAAGATCTCTTGAGTCCAGGAGTTCTGGGCTGCGGTAAGTCGTGATCACACCACTGCACTCCATCCTGGGCAAGAGAGCAAGACCTTGTCTCAAAAAAGCAAGGGCTGGGTGCAGTGGTTCACGCCTGTAATGCCAGCATTTTGGGAGACTGAGGTGGGCGGATCATCTGAAGTCAGGAGTTTGAGACCAGCCTGGTCAGCATGATGAAACACTGCCTCTACTAAAATAAATAAATAAATAAATAATAAAAAATAAAAAAGCTGGACGTGGTGGCAGGCACCTGTAGTCCCAGCTACTCGGGAGGCTGAGGCAGGGAGAATTGCTTGAGCCCAGGAGGCAGAGGTTGTAGTGAGCCGAGATAATGTCACTGTACTCCAGCCTGGGAGACAGAGTGAGACTCTGTCTCAGAAAAAAAAAAAAAGACCCAAGCCTGGCAGCTAACGATCAGGGCTGCTTCTAGGTGGTGGAACTATTCGTGGCTTTTACTGTTTTTTTAAGAGTTTTTTTCTGCCCTGTTTTATTGCCCCATAACAAAAGCAAGAATGATGGAGACTCAGAAGTGACTCACTCCAGGTCACACAGCCAGGCACAGGCTGCAGCCAGGTCTCCAGACCAATGCTGTGCGGTCCCGTCCCCCGCTGAGTCCCACAGGCTGTAGGAACACTGGAGGGTCTCAGCAGGGCCGGGCAGAGAGGGTCCTTGGAGGATCAACCAGCGCTCTTTCCCTCCTTTCCAGGGCGACTCCGGGGGCCCCCTGGCCTGCGAGGAGACCCCCGGCGTGTTTTATCTGGCGGGGATCGTGAGCTGGGGGATTGGCTGCGCTCAAGTTAAGAAGCCTGGCGTGTACACGCGCATCACGAGGCTGAAGGGCTGGATTCTGGAGACCATGGCCTCCCAGCCCCATCTCGTCTCCCCGCCCTCGACCACAAGGATGCTGGCCACCACCAGCCATCTCCCCAGGACAGCTGGCCTCATGGTCCTGGGGGCCACCCCCAGCCAACCCACCCCTGTGGCCACCAGCAGAGTGACCGGCCAACCTGCCAACTCAACCTTATCTGCCGTGAGCACCACCTTTGGGGGACAGACGCCACTTCCAGACACCGCAGAGGCCACCACCCACTCCCAGCTACCAGGTACTGCGAGAGACGGAGGGACCCGTGGAGTGAGGGCACCATGACCGTCAGCTCGGGTTGCCGAACAAGACATAACATCCCCGGGTGTGGGGGCTCACATCTGTCATCCCAGCACTTTGGGAGGCCAAGGCCGGTGGGTCACCTGAGGTCAGGAGTTCGAGACCAGCCTGGCCAACATGGTGAAACCCCGTCTCTACAAAAAACACAACAATTAGCTGGGTGTGGTGGGGTGCACTTGTGGTCCCAGCTACTTGAGAGGCTGGGGCAGGAGAATTGCTTGAACCCAGGAGGCAGAGATTGCAGTGAGCCGAGATGGTGCCACTGCACTCCAGCCTGGGCCACAAGAGCGAGACACTATGTAGGGGGAAAAAAAAAAAGGGCAGGCAGGGGGCTTTGGTGGTTCACAGTCACGCCGTGTCCCTGGGCGAGTGTTTTGTTAACGTGGCAGCCGCCCTCATCCGGTCTGTCCCTGCAGCCTGGGGGCTCTCGCTGTCTCAGTCTGAGCTGCTTTTTACTTTTTCAGTAGCTATGGCCTGGGAGCTCTTTGGGCGCAAAAGAGGTAGCGAGGGCCCCCTTGAAATGGGGGCGGGCTGTGTGTGGAGACAGCTGGCGTTCCCAAGGACAGGGGCTGCGGCCGCCGTCGGATGTGCCAAGGCCACCTGGTCTCGGGCCAGGGCCGGACGGTGCCAGGGCTGGCGGGGAAATGGAACTTCTCTTCTGTGCCGGCCTTCGCGTCTGCTTTGGATGGGACTGCGGGCGGCACCCAGGGAAGCTGACTGGGCGGTGATGGAGGGTGGGGAGGGGGCTAGCCCCTGAGGAAAACGGCCTTCTGGAGACAGCAGGTGGGTAGGGGTCCCCCTCCATGGCTGGTAAAGGGGTTCCTGGAAACCACCCACGCATTCTTCCACAGCTGAGTTCTGAGGGAGGCCTCTGCGGGCTGGGAGGGCTCAGCCTGCAGGGAATGTCAGGGAAGGGGATGGGGCCATCAGGGACCCAGGCAGAGCGCGCCACGGCAGGGCGGGGGTTCCGGGGGAGGGCCCTGGTGTCTGCCAAGGCCTTGGGGGTGGGATGGAAGTCCTGGAGGCCTGAGGTGTGGCAGGCTGCCCTGCGAAATGCCTCCCGCCTGGCCCCAGCGGGGGGGTGTGGCCTGAAGCTGAAGTCATGGGGAAGACACACATTCCCACTGTTATCTGGGAAAAGCCCAAACACCACACATCCAGCCCAGCGTCCTTTCCTGCCCTGTTTTCCTGGGGCACGTCCTCCCTCGCATCCCCCTCCCCAGGGCTCCCACGGGGATTGGCGGAGGGGCGTGCCCGAGGGGCTGAGTGGGGGAGGCGCCCTGGACCCACCTGCCCATGCGCCTGGTTCCCCCGCAGACTGCGGCCTGGCGCCGGCGGCGCTCACCAGGATTGTGGGGGGCAGCGCGGCGGGCCGCGGGGAGTGGCCGTGGCAGGTGAGCCTGTGGCTGCGGCGCCGGGAGCACCGCTGTGGGGCCGTGCTGGTGGCAGAGAGGTGGCTGCTGTCTGCGGCGCACTGCTTCGACGTGTGAGTCTGAAACGTCCCTGCGTGTGTCTGTAGCTCACCTGGAACCGAACTGTTCCGACCCGACTCCCCCTGCTCCCCCCCACCGCCCACCCCCACCCAAGCTCCCTGGGCCCTCCCCAGCCCACCCCCTCCACGTCACCCCCCACCCCTAGCCTGACCACCCAGGCTGGAGCAGCAAAGGCCGAGTCTTACCCCGCGGTCCCCCCTAACCCGGAGGCTGCCGCCTCTCCCAGCTCGGGCCAAGCCGACGGGGACACTGAGGTCACTTCTCTCCCCAGCCCTCACCCCTCAGACTTCTCTCCAGCCTCCCAAAGCCCACCCAGTAGAAAGCTCCCTTCCCCTGGCAGGCGAGGGGTTGCATCTTCCAGCGGGGTCACCCAGCTCCGGCGCCGCGGGGCTTGAGGTCAGAAGGGGAGGGCGGGTGGGGTCGGGACCCTCAGGGCTACCAGACCCCCTTTCAGAGGCTACCATTAGGTGGGGACGGCTGCATTTCTTGGTGCTGCCTTGGTGCCTGGTAGCTGGGCTTAGTGAGGGCCACAGAGCCCTTTCCCAGACCAGCAGCCAGAGGGCAAGAACCCCACCCAGGCTCCCAGCCGGCCGCTGAGGGACACCGCAAAGGCGGGGGCCGCAGGGACTCGGGCCCACGCTTGTCCTCGTGCACCCTGCAGCTACGGGGACCCCAAGCAGTGGGCGGCCTTCCTGGGCACGCCGTTCCTGAGCGGCGCGGAGGGACAGCTGGAGCGCGTGGCGCGCATCTACAAGCACCCGTTCTACAACCTCTACACCCTGGACTACGACGTGGCGCTGCTGGAGCTGGCGGGCCCGGTGCGCCGCAGCCGCCTGGTGCGCCCCATCTGCCTGCCCGAGCCCGCTCCGAGACCCCCCGACGGCGCGCGCTGTGTCATCACCGGCTGGGGCTCTGTGCGCGAGGGAGGTAGGCACGCGCGGGAGTGCGGGGTGCGGGGCGGGGGGCGGGGGGCGGCCGGACGGGGTCCACACCTGCCCGGTCTTGCTCGCCCGTAGGCTCCATGGCGCGGCAGCTGCAGAAGGCGGCCGTGCGCCTCCTCAGCGAGCAGACCTGCCGCCGCTTCTACCCGGTGCAGATCAGCGGCCGCATGCTGTGCGCTGGCTTCCCGCAGGGAGGCGTGGACAGCTGCTCGGTGAGCCCCAGGTCCTGCCCGGCCGCCGGGGAGGGCGGGTTCCCGCTGCGCCAAGCCCACCAGCTCACCACCGGCCTCCAGTGCAGACTTCTCAGGCAGACCTAGCAGGGCGCCTTTGCGGCTCTGGAGGAATGTCCACTTCACAACCGTTTATTGGGCACCCACCACGAGACAGGTTCCCCCCACCCACCGCGTCCCACCCCTGGGTGTTGGCAGCAGTGGGTGGCCCCGTTCCACTTCGGGACCACGTGGCGGGTGTCCACAAATGTCGGCCACCTTTGCACTGAGCCCATTTTCCAGACAGTGAAAGTGAGGGTCCCAGGGGAAGTCACTCACCCAGGGGCCAGCGACCCGAGGGCTGCTCTAAGGGAGGTACCAGCCTCTTAACTCCCTTTCTTCTCTCCCCAACAGGGTGACGCTGGGGGACCCCTGGCCTGCAGGGAGCCCTCTGGACGGTGGGTGCTAACTGGGGTCACCAGCTGGGGCTATGGCTGTGGCCGGCCCCACTTCCCAGGTGTCTACACCCGGGTGGCAGCTGTGAGAGGCTGGATAGGACAGCACATCCAGGAGTGATCACAACGTGGTCGTCTAGGCCAGGACTCTGGGTGAAAGCAGCAGGGGGAGCAGGCCACCCCACCCCCCACCCCACCTCACTGTACCCTACCCAAGGACAGACGTGGGGGGAGCTGGGGGTCATGGGGAGGCACCTGGGTTGCACATTTTGCTACAATGAACACAGCCCCTCCACCGCAGCTCACTGGCTCAGCACCTCAGTGTCACGGTGAGGACCACCGACCTGCCTGGTGCTCCACCAGGACCTCGGGTGCAAAGAAGTGGGGTCTGCAAGGTTCTCTGAACTGGCCACACAGGGGCTACACCACGATGACCCCTGTGACCCACACGTACGCCTCCAGAGGAACTCCCAGAGCCAGAAAGTCTAGTCCAACCTTGTGACACCCCCACCTTGCAAAAAAGCCATCCTGAACTGTAACTTTCCACTGCCTACCCCAAACCTATAAAACCAAACCTATAAAACCAACTCACCCTCCACCGACTCTCTTCCGAATCAGCCCACCAGCGCAGAGTGAATAAACAGCCTTGTTGCTCACACAAAGCCTGTTGAGGTGGTCTCTTCACACACAGCGCGATGAACATTTGGTGCCGAAACCTGGGTACCCCCTGTGACTTCTCCCCCAATCAACTACAACCACTTTGTCTGCCCCACATAGTTGCACGTCTCCTTCCTCTTGTTTCCAATTAGCTCTACAAAACTCAACCCATTCTTTGCTAAAGCCAACCCTAACAAAAGCTTGCTGGCTTGGGATGTCTCTATCAGCTACAACTTATACTGTCACTTCCGTCCCTGACTCGCCTAAGTTGTCACCCTCACTATGAAGGAAAAAGGCCCCTTCAGCTCTTAAATATGCAGTCATGCATCTGTCACAAGATCGGACATATCCCGACGGGATGGGTACTACAGCTTCTGCACTTCTGCATTTCCAGCCTCACTCCATGTACAGGTAATAACCCATATTTGTGGTTCCGTAACCACAAATACCATTATTTTTTTTGATACAGAGTCTTGCACTGTCGCCCAGGCTGTACCGCAGTGGCACGATCTCGGCTCACTGCAATCTCCGCCTCCTGGATTCAAGCGATTCTCCTGGCCCAGCCTCCCTAGTAGCTGGGATGACAGGCGTGAGCCACCGTGCCTGGCCCACAAATACTGTTTTAACCAGGCGTCCCCAAACTTTTTGCACAGGGGGCCAGTTCACTGCCCCTCAGACCGTTGGAGGGCCGCCACAAACTGCTCCTCTCACTGACCACCAATGAAAGAGGTGCCCCTTCCTGAAGTGCGGCGAGGGGCCGGATAAATGGCCTCAGGGGGCCGCATGGGTCCGCGGGCCGTAGTTTGGGGATGCCTGGTTTTAACTCTTCAGGCCCCTTTACGCTCCCAACACAATCCATCCTCTGGTCTACCTCTTAGCCACCTCCTACCCTATCAATGCCACTTTGCAACTCCAAGCCCCAATGGACTATCAAAAACTTTCTAGGCACCCAAACCGCTTCATTTAGCCGACCTGTCTGTCTGCTTTACAGGACCCCCAGAAGTCAGCACCACCACTCTGCTTAATAATCAGGGTTTTCAGGAGGCGGAGGTGGCGGTGAGCCGAGATCGCGCCATTGCACTCCAGCCTGGGTAACAAGAGCGAAACTCCGTCTCAAAAAAAAAAAAAAATCAGGGTTTTGTAACGCTTTCTCACACATCATGAAAACAAGACCTCTCCTTCCACACAATTACTCTATCAAACCCCACTACAACCTTTAAAAGTCGCAGCCCTTGCTGGTTCCATTGGTATCTGGGGACAAGACCTCAGGCCCCCCAGAACGCTTTCTCACCTTTTCAGTCTACACTTCCAGTTCCGCCTGAGCCAAGGCCTTTTCTTCCTCTGGGGCGGTTTCACCTACCTCTGCCTTCTTACAACTAGACAGGCACCTGTAGCTTAATTTTCCTTACTCCCAAAATCCAGTTTGCCAATAGAAATGACCATCTCCCTGTCCCCCTTGTAACTCCTACATGACAAGTCATTCCATTAATCCCCTTTCTTGTAGGACTGGGGTGTCCACTGCTGCAGCTGGAGCAGGTATGGCAGGCCTCACGACTTCCATCACCACCTTCCAGGGTCTCTAATGATGTTTCCGCCAGTATTCCAGACATACTCAAACACTGTTCTCCAAGCCCAGGTTAATTCCCTGGCTGCATGTGTCCTGCAAGATGGCCAAATCCTCAATCTACTAACGGCTAAAATAAAATAAACTAAAATAAAAAAGGACTCTATTCCCAAATAAAGAACGCCGCTTTTATCTAAATCAATCCGACCTTGTATATAACGCCATCAAAAGGCTTTAAGACAGGACCCAGAAGCTTGCTCATCAGGCAGACAATTATTCTGGACCTAGCTGGCCTCTCTCCAGCTGGGTATCATGGCTCCTCCCACTGGTTGGCCCCTTACACCTGTCTTTCTCCTCCTCTACGCGGACTAGTCTCACAATCCCTACAAAACCACATCCAGGCTATAACCAATCAGTCAATACAGCAAACGCTCCTCCTAACAACCGCAGATCATCGACCTTTGCCTCAAAACCTCTCGGCAGTCTGAATCCCCTCCCATTTTTAGGTTTCCACGCCGCTCCCGCTCCCGCTCCCACTCGAAGAAGCGCTGAGAAACATCGCCCATCGCCCCCCTGTGCAACCCCCAAAATATTCACTGCCCCCTTTTTCTAGTTGTTACTTTTATGTTGTTAATACACAAAAGGCAGGAATGCAAGGTTCTTTGAACTGGCTGCACCATGGTGACCCCTGAGACCCACGGGTACACCTCCAGACGCACTCCCAAAGCCAAAAAGTCGAAGCCAACCTTGCGACACCTGCCACCCCCACCCCCGGCTTGCAAAAACCACCCTGAACTGTGACTTGGGTTAACTTTCCACTGCCCACCCGAAACCTATAAAACCAACTCCTATCCCACCGCCCTCGGCTGACTCTCTTTTGGACTCAGTGCGCCAGCACCGGGGTGAATAAACAGCCTTGTCAAAGCCTGTTTAGGAGGTCTTGTCATTCACAGCGCGCTTTAACAGGGTGAAGGCAAGCTCTACCCTGGGGAGGGCTGTCCCCCTTAGCCTTTGGGACGGGGTGGCGCCAGCAACACATTCCTCGTGACTCAGCAGCCCAGTGGCACTAAGAGAAAAGATGGGGCTGGGTGCGGTGGCTCACACCTGTAATCCCAGCACTTTGGGAGGCCAAAGTGGGCGGATCACGAGGTCAGGAGATAAGAGACTATCCACGCTAACATGGTGAAACTATGTCTCTACCAAAAACAAAAAATCAGCCGGGTGTGGTGGCGCACACCTGAAGTCTCAGCTACTCAGGAGGCTGAGGCAGGAGAATCTCTTGAACCCGGGAAGCCAAGGTTGCAGTGAGCCGAGATTGCACCACTGCGCTCCAGCCTGGGCGACAGAGCGAGACTCCATCTCAAACAAACAAACAGATGGACTTCCCCCAACCCAGAGGAGGCTTGGACCCTCCGAGCTGGGGTTCCAGGGGCAAGCCTCACCTTCTCCCAGAGAACCCTCCGGATGGAAATAAACAGGTTTCTCTCTGCCCTCCCCCAACAATTTATTTGCCCATCCGCAACAGGTGACAGCTCAGCTGGGGTCTGACCGCCGCCAACTCCAAACTCCAAACAAGAGTTCTCCATCCAAAATATGAGGCTGACCTGGACACACCAGGGGAATCCCCCAAAGCCTGAAGGAGGTGCCTCTGGGCTGGCAGCACTCTGGGAAGGCACAGGGCCGATCACCCCGAGATGCAGGCTGCACTGGCTGGCAGGGGGCAGGGCGGGGGGGGGGCGGTGAGAACACAGTCCCATCTGTCCCAGCACCGGAGCCACCCCCCTAAGCCCCGGGCAGGCAGTACGCACAGGAGGGCCCCACCTCTCAAAGCACGTTTATGGAAATAAACAGGGTGGGGTGGCCACGAGCCCGCCAGTCACATGTTGGCTCGTTCCCGCTGCAGCCGCGAGTTGTAGGCGCGGGACACGGTGTTCCAGGCGTCCATGTAGCGGTCCATGCACATGGCGATGCATTTCTGCGGGAGGGGAGGGGCGCACGGCTCAGCCCCGGCGCTCGCGCCCCCGGGGGTCCGCCCGCACCCAGGCTCCAGGTCGCCCGGGCTGCAGGCTGCGCACGTGCAGTGGCCGCTCCGCTGCGCTTCCCCGTTAGTCCGCGCACGCGCAGACGCGTCCCAGCCCCAATCCAGACGCTCGCGACCCTCGCCCCGAACCTCCGCGGGTCTCACCTGCTCGGAGTTGTCCAGGGAGCCCCCAGGTTTCCCGATACACTTCCGGAAACACTTGTCCGTCATCCTCTGTGGAGACACGCCAGGCTTCAGCCGCGACGCCGACCCTCAGGGGTGGCCCTGTCGCCCCCAACCCCCGCCCCCGGCCAGCCCCGCACCTGCAGCAACTCCTGCGCGTTGGCCACGGCGATCTGCACCTTCACCTGCTCCATGATAAGCCCTGGGTCCAGCTTCCCGCTGCCGGAGCCCCCGAAATCCGAGCCGAAGCCGCCCTCCATGGCTCCGCAAAGTCAACCGGACCGAGACCGCGTGCGCCGACCCGTAGCTGCGCCGGAAACGGGGCGCCCGGGGCACCACGGGAATTAAAGCTCGCGCGGGCGAGGACTGAGGACTACAACTCCCACAAGACCTCGCGCGCCCGGCCCGCTCCAGGTTGGGCGGTTCTCAGCGCATGCGCAGGCGTGGACTGACCGTGACCGACGGGAGCCTGTCCGCGCTTGCGACTCCGCGGGGAGGGCGGCCCTGACTTGGCCCGGGGAGGCGGGGTGCCACTGCGTGAGGCCGAGGCCGATGACTTGTACTCAAGCTCCGCCTCCGACTTGTCCCGCGGTCTATTGCGCATGCGCACCAGGCACCCAGCGCGTCTAACCACGTGCTGCCGCCGGGGCGGAGCCCGCAGGAACCCGGTCGCATCAGGTGACAAAAGAGTTCCCTGCAGCAGCGTCGGAGACTCGCTAGAAAAAAAAGACGGGGGCCTGTCTACACTCGCCAGCGA